AAAACCACTCATTTGACCTTTGCTCCCCATGAACTTCAGAGCTACAGATGCTCAGCGCTGCTCTCTCTTCCCTGCACTTTGCCCACATTAGATACCTGGACTCTAGTTATTCTCCCACCCTCAAAGACATCCACATTTTAAATACTTATTTATAACGGTAATGTCTCCAGCCATCTCCTGATACTCACTTTGACCTGAAAGTTTACTACCACCAGTTAATCACCGAGACATTTTTCCTGCCTTCAACTACTGCAGATGGACACAGAAGGTAAGTGATGTTTAATTTACAGAGAACATTGCAGGTTGCGAGCTCCTCACTGCCTCGTCCCACCCCTCCCCTCCCCTCCCCCTGGTTTACGGCCAGAGGTACTGATAGAGTTGTGGCGGTTCACCAGTGCCCCTGTCACGCCTCGGCGTCCCCTGTGAAGATCAGTGCTATTTCCAGACTCGTCACACTCTTTCCTTTTGTTTCCATGTGTGGGGTCAGGGGGAGTTTTTACGGTTCTACTGATGGGCCCAAGGTGGTGCGGGGAACAGGGTGAAAGCTGGTTACCTATTACTAGGGAAGTGCCTGCGCCTGTGGGCTGGTGCCTCGCTCATGGTAGGAAGCGACAGCACAAGCTGTTATCAAAGAGGTACTGGGCTAATGGAGGAGGATAACAACTAAAGCCTGAAAGCAATATCGACCACCAAGAGGAGCATGGCTCTGACAAGTCCATCAGCTGCTTGGCCTTTCCTGTTCCGCTCACAAAGAAGAGCTCTGCCCAGCTCCTTGAGAAATTACTTTTAAGTGAAAAACTTGGGAATATCTATGACTTCCACCATCATGCAGAGATTCTGCTCCTCTTGGGGTGCAGGCCCTTTGATTCAGGTCCCATGAACTTCCCTGGCTTTCCTGGGGATGTCCTCTTCAGATTTCTGGCCCCTTTTCTCAATAAGGCAGAGAAGGAAACCAAAGAGCTAGAGTCTCTACAGCTGCCCCCAGCGTCTACACAAAAATGCCTGATTCTCTGGCAAATGGACATCTCTTCGGTGTAGAAGGTAATATTTTCCCGTTCTCTAACACACTACGTTTGTTCCTTTCACTTAGTAACAGGTGTAGGAGTGTTCATATTTCTGGGATTAAGCTCAGCCTCAGCACTGGAGAGTAAAGCCATGTTTCTGCTTGGTGTATGCCTGTGGCGTAAAACGGTTATTCCAGCCTTGAAGAACCAAGCATGTTTGGGTGACACCTTCCGACTGGAGTGAGGCATTCCATCCAAACCATTTCACGTGTGACCTCAAGTAACTTAGGCCTAGTCATTCCATGAATCTAATTTTTAGGTGCGCTTTGCAAATGTTGGGAAGCGTTCACAACTCATACTCGTGGCACAATCCTTCCTGCCTGTACTGTCCCATCCATGTCTATGGCTGTAATTGTGACATGATTCTCTTTAAGGACAGATCAATCATAAACTGCTTAGTATTCGTGAGTTAGCTTTCCTTTTGGCAAAAAGCTGGAACAACTTGGCTCCAGGTGAGCGCTTACAAGCTGCTTGCAGAATGTTAAGTTGGCTACTACAGCACGGGTCATAGCTTCAACCCCCTGGGTTTGCGTAGCATCTTAGAAACTGCAAGGGCAGAAATGTTTTAAAGAAACTCCCTAGAGTGATGCCCCAAACTGCTTGGATTTCTTTACCTTGGGCCCGGTGACCCAGCTCCATCCATCCCTCATGGGCACTGTGAAGGGAGTTCTAAAGGCAGTAGTTCCCCAGGGCCTGACAAAAAAAGTGACAACTAGTGGAACCTCCCCCTCCCTCCAGGGGACTCTTCAGTCTCTACTTGCATTCACTCCTCAGATTACTTGCCAGAGTCATCCCCAATGCAGCCCTCTGCAGTTCTGCTGCCTGTGTTAAAGGGCTCTGCAGCGGGTCCTGGTTTCTATGGCTACTTGACCGCCTGGCATGGATCGCCTAACATAAACTGCCACGCAGATGCCTTGATCATGGATCTGTGAGAAGCCTAGAAGGCTCTGCTGCCAAAGGCAGGGATCCACGGAGAGCCAGGGGATGGCCAATACGTCCTAGACAAGCTCCTGGCAAATCGGGAGTTTGTCCAGAAGTCACTGAGCAGAACGCTCACTGCGACAGCAGCCTCCCACCTTGCAGCCAGGCCGCACAGTCTGAGGCTGGCCTTTACGTGGGGAGGGCACCAAGTTTTCTACCTGAGGAGCGGAAGTGGGACACGGTAATATACAGTGAAACACAGCACAGGGCAGGACACCACCCTGCACGGGCCTTCCTTCACATTTCAAAACATTCCTGGCTCATTTAGAAACTTGGGGAGAGCTAGACACTCCCCTTAAATGCTCCTAGCTATTCTTTTCAAAGGTTACAAACTACCTTAGGGCTCATCTTAAAAACCAGTAACATGGGGAGGTTCTAACATCGATC